TCTGGCGGCGTGGCAGCAGCAGGAGGCCCCATTAGCTAAAGTGGTGCTTCAGGTTAAGAATAGTTTCAGGTTAAGAACGGACCTCTGGAACGAATTAAGTACTTAACCTGAGGTACCACTGTACTTGTGACTTCTCAGCTGATCCTAGAGTGGTCCCCAGAGAACTGTCTTCATGGAGCCAGATAGTTAAAATATGATTGCTCCTTCAGGGTAGTGATGGCAGAACCCAGGTGTAAATATTGCAAACTGCCCATGGCAAGCAATGGTTTTAGAGAGGGCAAAAAAAATCACATATACTTCATGTTTCCTTGGAAGGAGCACAAAGTTTTTGGGAAGGTCAAAGCACACAGAGGTCAGTTTCTGTACACATCTGCATTAACAACATCTTGGTTATAGTATCAGGACTCCACTCTTGTAGACTTCCCCTGTTGCTGCTTTGGATACCCAAGGCTCTCAGTAGCTGGTATATATGAGACAAAGAGACAAATATTGGATCAGGGAAGAGAGAGGCATTTTTGTTGACCTATGAATCAGATGCAAAAGGTACTCCAAAATGTACCACAATGAGGTGGTAATTAAGTGGCTATTTAAAAGAAAATAAAATGTCAAAGGGAGCTCAATCATTCAGCTCACCAGCTGAAGCCATTCTTTTTATAAAAGTCATCCTTTTTATTTAATTCTTTTAAAAAAGGAAGCAGTCAGTGCTCTCAATACCCCATGCTGTTCTAGGATAAACTAGGTACCATCCTTCTTAATAGTTTTCACCGCCACTAAGTGTACTATGGGCATGAGCACTGGTGTTTCAGAAAAGAAGCAGCAACAGCAGCTGAGGCAGAAAGCTCCAGCAGTTAAGCAGACCATTTCTGGAATATTTGGGCAATTGGCTTCCCTATCAAGGGCTTAGACAGCTACTGGAGCTAAGTCAGCCTTCTCAGGAGTTGCCTTGTCTCCTCATCGGCTAGTAAAGCGAGATGAGCACCGCAACCCCAGAGTCGTCCGCGACTGGACTTAATGGTCAGGGGTCCCTTTACCTTTACTGTCTCCTTTAGGATAAATTTGTGCTAGTTGTGACTGGGATCGTCCCACTCTACTCGTCGTCGTGACCTTTTTATGGCCCAGTCGGGAACATGACAACACAAATGGGCCGAAATCACATTTTTATTATTATTATAAATATTTCTAGCCTACTCTTTATCGCCGACTGAACCCAGAGTGGGAACAATGGAAACAAAGCACAGTATGAACACAAATAATAGAAGTGCAAAAATATGCACAAAAATAGGAGAATAGCAACTTTCCACTGACTTTGTGTGGGCATGTCTATTATAGTAATTGATTTAATCTCCCGAGCACAGTTTGTGCAGGGACATCACTGCAGAAGCCCTGTGGAGCATGTAGAGGTTGGGTAGCTTGTGTCCTCCTTTTGGGGAGATAATTGAACTCTGCATTGTTTAAGTGCATTTGCCTTGTTTAGGAAACAGCCTGATGAATAGGTGCTGATGTAGGAAAAGTTGACTCTTAAGTAAGAATATAGGCATGAGAGCATGACATTAGTAATCCACTCATATTGGTTATACAAGATGCAGATCAGGCAGATCCTCACATTCTTGATCTTTGGAGCAATCATGTGACTAAGTATTTGCTTGCTATTTGTAATTATTTCTCTCAATATTCCCTCCCCATATTAATTTACATATTTTTTCTGCTTCTAGAATAATCATAAAAGTAAATGCATTTTTAAACAAGCGCTTTCTCATAATTTATGATGAATGTGCCACAGGTTTTGCTTTCTTTTCCCTGCATGGTCAGTGTGCCTTGACTCTAACATGAAGGAAGTGATTCTATGTGTGATTGAACGGATGATCTCCTTAAACAGGCCTACTAATTATTATGTTTTTAATTAGCCAACTATCTTCTTTAAACTTGACAGTCCATGAAGCCCCATATTGCGGGTGATGTTTTGTAACAAATGACAGTTGAACATCTGAACTAATTTGTGTACAGTGCCTTCTCCATTGGCTTGTTGTTGGCAGTGAAAACAGTCCTGGCAAACACTCTTATTAGCTATGTGGTGTAAGCAGAAATAAACTCCCTTTATATCCTGCTGTGTGCCTATAATAGAAGGTATTGTGGACTTTTGTGAAATAAAACACTCGAACCATAAAGTCTTATATTCTGATTTCAGTTTTACCAAACTAGATTTGGAACCCAAATATTTTCTTCATGTGGGCAATGGGATGATTCATTTAGCATGCACCCAACATGGAAGAATACAGTAAAGTCAATTTGCTTCCATATGTTGCAACTTAATGTAAAAGGGGAAAAAATCAATGTTCTCTTGCTGTAGACATTAGTTCCAGTTATTAGAATAATGCAAGTGGAATTAGAGCTCATCAGAAGCAGTATGTACATGCAAGTGAGTAAGTACACTTACTCAAGTACCTTGGTTCTTGAACAGAATGCGTTCCGGGACTCCGTCCGACTCCTGGAACAGTTCGAAAACCAAGGCGCAGCTTCCAATTGGCTGCAGGAATGTCCTTCAGCCAATTGGAAGCCATGGAAGCCACACCAGACATTCAGCTTACGAAAATTGTTCGAAAACCGGAACACTCACTTCCGGTTTTTTATCGTTCAGGAGCCAAAATGTAGAAGTTCCAAGGCGTTTGGCGTTTGTACAGCAAACATTTACTTGAAGGAAGCTTCCATTCTTTAGAGTTGTTGAAGAACATTGAACCTAATAATGATCAGCTGCTTATCCCCACGGGTTGCTATTTGCATTTTTTAAAAATGTGCACATTAAATGCAAAGGGATCTTTAACATCATGGCTGCTCTGGCCCTTAGAAGAAGCTTGTCAGGAGTGGGTAATGTATGGGCAGTATATATTTCATGCAGAATAAGCAAGTTCACTCTCTTAATACCTGCATGAAAACTTCACAGCATAACTTCTTTTTAAAAGAGGTTTCAATTCAGCTAAATTTTGGCAGGCATCCAGAGGCTCCCTTGTGCAAATGGAAGCCTATTCTACATGTGGACCCCCCCACCCCCCTGCAATTTCTGTCATTCCCCTTTCTGTTGCAGCCCACTGCAGCCCACTGCTCCTGCATCCCCCTGCTTACAAAGCAATCAGTAGAACAACAATATTATAAAATTGTAGTCTGTTATAATAAACAACAAACAACATTTAGCAACATTAAAATAACAGCAGTAAATGAAAGCATGAGTAAATGTAGGGTCATAAACTCAACCCCAAGTGGTGGTATCATTTTTATTATTCTGCTCAGTAACATCATTCTTTGAGCTGCTTACGGACATAAAATGATGAAATACGGTTAAAATAGCAATATCATATAATGGCAATATCAAGCTTTATTGGACATTTGAAGGATACAAATGCAAAGACAAAAATGTGTATGGTTTTAAAGAATATTGTCAGTCACTGGGAATGTAGCCAGTTATATGGTTGGAAATGAAAGCATGTATTGAAACACCATTACCCAGATGCCAGGAGTCAGTAGCAGGTTTTGCCTTCTTTTAACAGCCTGTTTATTTCACCCTATGGAACTCAAGGGAAGCCATGTGACATCAAGATGACATGCTTTGAAGTCCCAACAATTGTTGGGACTTCAAAGCGTCAAGAGTGTACTTTAAGGCATTGGCACCTGCATCTCAACTGCATGTATGATGCTGGGTGTGCAGCAGCTGTGTGGTTTGGGAAAATGAGCTGGTAGGACCTTATGCTGGGCCTAATTAAGCTTGTGGACTAGATGTTCTCAATCCCTGGCTTAAAGGAATGGAGCACAGCAAGGTGGATGGTTGGGTTTTCATTCCCTATCCACCCCATAATACTCCTTTTCATGTAAAGCAGGGATAGGGATCTTAGGGCCCTCCATATTTTGTTGGACTTTGGCTCCCATCATCCCTGACCATTGGTCATGCATGCTGAGGCTGATGAGAGCTGGATTCCAACATCATCTGAAGGGTCATAGGTTCCACATCCCTGATAGGCTTGCTTCATTCATTCATTCATTCATTCATTCATTCACACTTTATTTGTGAATTGGAAAGATTCATGGATCAAAACCACACATGCCTCATCACATCTAGTAAGTACAGTGGAATGTTGGAAGAATGGGATACGATATTGGGAACTGACTTTTATTTAGCTAGCTTTCAGTGTTCAGCTTCAAAACCCAACAGCTACCAGTTTTATTCCTTCAGATATATAGCTAAATCAGTTGGTGTCTTCTGTTAAAGTAGCATTGATTTGCCCCCCTCCCCTTAGTCCGTGCCTGATCATTTGTACCGCACTAAATGTCATGCTGAATTTGCAACTAAATGAAACTGTCTCCATGGCAGAATCTTAAATGCCTAGAGACTGTTTCCTTTGTGAATTCCAATCAAATGAATGATCCTAGTTGCTACTTGAATTTCCTTGTGAACCCAAGAGACAACTAGACTTCTATCAGGCTCCACAGCAGCTACGTATGGGTAGCTATGAGGCCAGAAGCCTTTCCATATAACCTGTTGGTTGATTGTTCTAAATTGTTGCCAGGTATTGATGAACAGTAATCTGACAAGAGTGAATGGGCAGCTGAGTGTAAAGGGCAGTTCTAATAAAAAGAATAATGAACACTTTTTGCTTTAATGAATCCCACCAGTCCATTTGACAGAATTCTGCCTGTTGACCCTGCTAAATCAAATTCATACTTAAGCTGGTTTCCCTGAAAGCTACCGGCTAAGCTGCCAGATATCCATCAGATAGGGATTCTAAATTTCAGCTTAATGATACTGCCACCTAGTTTTGGGACACATTAATTGCTTTAAGATCCAGCTGTGCAGCGAGGACTTTGTGTTGTGCTGAATGTGAAGGGCAGCAGCTTGGTTTCATTTGCTTCTGTGACACAAGAGGAGAAGCTGTATGATATTCTGTGTCACTGCAAGCATCAGTCTTGCCCTAATCTTCAAAAACACATCTGTTAATGTCTGTCTTAATGAAAGTGTGTCAATGTTTTCTGAGTGCAGAGTTTCAGAGTGGAGAACCAGATCTTTACCTTGAAGCTGCATCAAGGTCTGACTGTGAATCTTGGGCTGTGGCTCTCGGAGAGGCAAGTTCTGAAGGTTTGCGCAATAAAATCGAGCAGCTCCAGAGACTGATCATGGAAATCAAGGAAGAAAGAGCAGCAGATGAAGTACCGGTACATCAGTTCATTCCATCAGCACAGGCAGACAATCTTGCAGAGTCCAAGCTTACAAGTAAGCATGTTGTTTATTGGACCTTAATCCTGTTAATACTTTTTTTTGGTGGAAATCCTCTCTTCTGTGAATGGCCAGTTTTAGGCAGATTAGAAATCTTTGTTGCCAAGTATTATTGCACTCCAGTGCTCATAATCACTAACCATTTGGCGGTGTTGCCTCGGGCTGATGGGATTCGAGTGAAACATTATCTGGATGAGCACAGGTTACCCCTCTCTTTGTTGTAGACAGACATGTTAATATAATACTGATAATGTATTTTGCTTCTGGCTTGCATAACTTGCTTCCTATGGAAGGCAGGTATATAGCTGTCAGTTAATCTATTCTTTGTAGTGTTGATTTTTTTAAGATGCTGCGTACAAATGTTGTTTTGCATGTATTTCTACAAGACGTTTAATGTTCAAAGTATGATACTGTACTTACCCTTATAACAAGTAATTAGAGACAAATCATTAGTTTAACACTTTCATTATAGAAATGGGAACCAGGACTGAGAGATAGGCTTGTTTAAGGTTTCCTAACTCCAAGCAATAGTACTCTGCCTGTCAGAATTTTGATCATGCTTCTGAATCATAAGGCAGCATCATATAAATTTTTCAAAGAAGAAAGGAGCTGAATGAATTGGCATCACTGGCAGGGCTTGTATTTAAGCAGGGCTTAAATACATTGTATTTAAGACAGCAGCCCTCCATACCACATAAGAAGCCTCTTTTGCAATTATAGGGAGTTTCAAAAACCTTGTGGTGGTGAGTTAGGTTCTGTTATTCCAAGGGAAATTGTGGGGAACCCCAATAAACATGCCATGGATTGTGATCCATGGTAGTGTCGCTATGCATGCAACCTAAACACGTTGCAGAGTTTCCAAAAAATAGACCAGAGACAATTGTACTTCATCCAGCAGAGCTTTAGTGCTACTGAAGGCAAATGAGCATAACGGTCACAAATCCAGTAACATTCAGGATTGGCACAGTCCATAAGAAATCCATTTGCAGCAGACTTACCTTTAAACTAACAAGAACTTATAATAAGACTAAACCTTAGCACTATAGCATACAGAACAGAAACACCACACCAGAACAAAGAGATAGAAAGAGAAAGTTAGTGAAACCCAGGCTCCTCCTGGCCTGACTATTATAGTCAGCATGACCTTGATAGAAAAGATAACAGAACCAGTATAAACCAGCTGTACTCAGCTTCCCAGAAGGAATAACCCAAACATCAGAAACCTTTTTTTTTTCACACAGACAAGCTTCAAGAACCTTCTTGAACTAAGTAGAACAGGAAAGATCTCTATACATAAAATCAATACTTTCTGTACTAAGAAATGCAAACTGTTAATTCCAAGTACATAAGTTTAGGCAATGAGTAAGTCTGATTAAATTAAATGGGGTTTACTTCTTGTAGACATTGATATCATTGCGCTGATAGTCTTATGGAAATATTATGATGTTTACTGAGTTTCCACTGAGTTTAGTCACGTGACCCTTCTAAATACATGTCCAGCCATTCTGGTGAAGTAATAATTTGTTGAAAAAAGCAGCAGTGAACTTTGCATTCTGAGAAATTTTGATGTAAATGACATAGCCAATTGCACAGGATAACAATTACTTCGTCAGGATAGCTTTCCCACTATGATTGTGATTCATTAGAACACAAAAAATGTTGTTTATGGATCGACTACAGTGGGCTCTAAAAAAAGTAGATGTGGTGAAACATTGCGTCTTGATTTGAGCTCACTGTAGGTACCGTTGGTACAATGCTAAGTATACTTCGTCATATAAAATTCCAGTGTATGAATTATTACCGTATATATTTTAACTAGATACTCTTTTACCAACAGATCTTCAGAGGACTGTCAATGAACCAAAACTTGAATTCAGTCTTGGTAAGACACAACTTTAAATGTTGCATAAAACTAAAGTTGATAGGTTGCATCCAGCCAAGTCATACTCAGAGTAGATCCACAGAAACAATGGGCATGACTACCTTAACATCCATTGTGTCTACTCTGAGTAGAACTTAGTTGGATACAATTATATAATATATAAAGAGCACGACTTTCCACTTTAGAAAGCCCTGAAAAGAAGAGAAGCATATAACAGCCATTTGATCAAGTGGCCTTGTAAATGAATCTCTAAAACCTTGAACGGAAGCAGTTTGGGTTGTTTAATCTACTGATGATCTGGCTGAGACCTTTTTATTATTAAACACTGCAAACTTGGGGCTGGAACACTTACGCATTCTAACCTTTATAATATATGCAGGTCTATAAAAGATAGGATTTTTAATGTTGAACTAATTAATATGTTCATGTAAAAATTATTTATAGGAAGGGTTTTAATTTCAAGGTACAGCAGCTTCTTGAGTGTTACCTTTTGAAACAGAATGTCTCTTTGGGAAAGTGTATCTTATTAATTGGTACATGCCATTCTTTTTGTTAAAGTACATGTAGCATAGCTAAAATGTTCAATCAGTCATGCATACTAATTAACTGAACATGTCTTCATAGCATTAGATAAGCACTTTTTTCCTGTAAAAAGTGCAGCTTCCCTTGCTTTGTTGAATTGAATTCCAGTGCTTTCAGAAACATTGAGTCATTTCTTCAAAACCTACAAACTGTGCAAGCTTTGTCATTAGTTTCTTTCGGTATTAGGTTATACAGTTATAACAGATACTTCAATATGATGCGATGTGAATTTAATGGCAGGAATTAAGACCAGAATTAAGATGAATAATAATGTTAGCTTTGTTTAGATAGAAGGAACGTGTGGATTACTTGTGCCCAGATTTATTCTACAACCTACTAACTGCTTAGTGATTGGCTGGCTATTACATTTTCATAACTTTGCCAGCAATCCAAACCACAAAAAGTGTATTTTTCAGAATTAAGTCCAATTGAATGCAGTGGGCCTCACTCCTAGGTTAGTATGGTTGGGCTTGCAGCTTTACTTCCATAATTATTTTAGTAGCTGGGTAGTCATTGTCTTTTACTGTAAAGGCCAGAAGTCATCTTACTTCATCATGATGTATACTGCATTTCAGGTAATACAATTTCTTAGCCTTATCCTAAGCCTTAGCCTTATATTTGATAGATTGCTTTCTTTCCCACTTTTTAATCCAGAAGTGGGAATGCATCATGCATAAAATAATAAATATACCATTAAAATTGCATTAAGCCTGTTTCTACACTGTATGATACATAGCAATATTCTTGGGTAGTGTATTTTTCCTTCCAAAAGCCCAATTATCGTAATAGTTCCTCAAAGGTCACCTAGCCCAAGCCCAGCCAATACAGAAATCCACTCTTACAGTATCCCTGATAGATGGCTATCCAACTTCTTCTTAAAAGCCTCAAATGATGGAGAATACATAGTCATCTGAGGGAATGATTTTTTCTTGTAATTTGAACCCATCGGTTCCAGATCTATCCTTTTGTCTGGACCAACAGAAGGAAAGGATCGTTTCTATCCTATGCTTTTCATACCAGCTTATCTGCAGAATGATTCTAACCTGAGCTCATTAGAGAAGCCCAGCCCATTAGAGAAGCTCAGATTTTAAAGAGGCAAGGATATATGGATACTGACCTATGATGTTTTTCTTCTAAAGCCAGTAGGCGAAAGAAGATTTTTCAGTCATAAGTTTTACTTGTTTGTTTTGGACTAAAAAAACATATTTTGAGGGAAGTATTTTGAGTAACCACTGTTCAGTGAAAAGTTAGTGGATATCTGAGCTTGAAAAGCTATTTAACAGCTGGAAGGGTCCTGCTGGGATTTAACCATTTTTAAGAGACACAGTTTTATCACTGATGTTCCGGAGTGATGCAGCAGATAATGGGATCGGATTTTGACAAACATTTCAGACTAAAGGAGATGAAGTGAAGATATAATAACAAAGACAAAGGGACTCAGTGTTTTGAGAGTGGGGGCTTGGAGAGGTTTATGGTTTCAATTATTTATTATGCATTAAATTGTTTAAGCACAGGGTTTTTGTTGGTTTTTTAAAAGCATTCTTTATATGTGGTGTATTACTTATTTCACATATTTTTCAAAAGCTGGCCTAAATTTGTTTTTGGCTAAGCTTTACAACATTTACATTCAGTTGGACAAATGTATCACTCCACTAACATTGCACCATTAATGCAAATTTTGTTTATTTTGATGGTTTGTGTTCTAATGGGGTTCTGTTCCTCAGATTACATGCATTATTTTGCAAAGATGCCCTTGGCTTCATCAGGGAGTTCTACTGGTGAAAATATTTTCATGATTGCTGGGGGGGGGCGGGGTTGTTGGTGTTACTTCTTAAAATAATTTTTAAGTACCTAAGTACCTAAAATTAAGTACCTAAAATTTATAGTCACTGCCTGAAGCCTTACACTCTAAAAGGTGTAGGGATGTAGGTGGCGCTGTGGTCTAAGCCACTAAGCCTCTTGGGCTCACTGAACAGAAGGTTGGCGGTTCGAATCCGTGCGATGGGGTGAGCTCACATTGCTGTGTCCCAGCTTCTGCCAACCTAACAGTTCAAAAGCATAACAGTGCAAGTAGGTAAATAGGTACTGCTGTGGCGTGAAGGTAAACAGCGTTTCCGTGTGCTCTGGCACTCATCATGATGTCCCATTGCGCCACATGATTTGGAAATCTGTCTGTGGACAAACACCGGTTCTCTTGGCCTGAATTGAGATGAGCCCCGCACCCTATCATCGCCTTTGACTAGACCTAACTGTCCAAGGGTCCTTTAGCTTTTACTCTAAAAGGTGTGGCTCATATGGAAAAAAGGAAGGGAAGGGAAGAGGAAATGAGCAAACTCAGGTTACAAAGCAGTTTCGGAGGGAAGGAGTCAAATGGCAGCTGATCTCTCAATGAAGCCAATGGTGAGGGCTTTGGTAGGTTGGCCATCAGTTACATCATTTTGGCATGTTCCTTTCATTTTAGAAAACCAAACAATATAGCTCACAGGTTGACGGTGTAAGCCAAATTCTGAAGGTTTTTCCCCTGAGACCGTAGAGTCTGTATTCAAGAGTCTTAGCTACATTTATTAACAACTGAGGTATATTTAAGGGATTTTATGGGTTTTATGAGTAAAACTCTCACAAAAGTCTCTCCATGTGCTCCTTTGCTATCATAGTGCATTACCCTTGGCTTGACAGTGGGTATTGGCTATGGGTACAGTAGGAACACTTTCTCTTTCTCTCTTGCTGCCCTATAAGGTTGGAAATACCTCCCAGAATCCAACTGGGAAAATTCAGAACCAGCAAGACCAGACTGTCCTGAAGGACTGGAAGAAATTCATGATATATTTGAAAGACATTTGTAATCAATTGACATTGCTTGGAGGGTTACAAGCAGTTTTGTAAGGACAACTATATGAGTTACTGCGAAGGAGGACTAAGAAGGAGTTTGTTTAGGACTTGGATTTTATAGCAATAAGTATAATAATAAAATGCAAAATTAGAAAGGAAGTTAGAAAACCATCAGTCGAGGTTGATGGAAGTCCTAGGCTGTGATAGGAGCCAGTGTGGTGTAGTGGTTAAGAGCGGTAGACTCCTAATCTGGGGAACCGGGTTCGCGTCTCCGCTCCTCCACATGCAGCTGCTGGGTGACCTTGGGCCAGTCACACTTCATTGAAGTCTCTCAGCCCCACTCACCTCACAGAGTGTTTGTTGTGGGGGAGGAAGGGAAAGGAGAATGTTAGCCGCTTTGAGACTCCTTAAAGGGAGTGAAAGGCGGGATATCAAATCCAAACTCTTCTTCTTCTTCTTCTTCTTCTGATAGCCAAAGGTCTGTTATGTTGTTTAAAATGGGATGTTACGTATGTTTGGAAAAGGATTCCTTCCCAGAATCCTTGTGTGTGTCGCTAGCACTCCTTAAAATCCCTCCGTTTTCACATGAAGGAGCACATCTGAGTTAAAATTTGGGTTGCTAGGAATGTTTCCCATGGAAGAATTTCCAGCTCCCTGACAACTTCCTGCAACAACCCTCTGCAACTAGGAGCTAGCCAGGAAAGAGAGCAATAATTTATCGCTTGAGAGAGTTCCATCTCCCATAGGTAACTCAACATACTGCTGTGCTGTGTATGAAGTTTACTAAACCACAAAGATGAAGGGGGAAGAAAACCACTCCCTCTTTTCCTTCCTGTGGTAAGGCTGGTGACCCTTCTGCACAAAAGCAAAAGCGTTTTCAGCTTATACACAAGGCAGTCAGAATCCAAGCCAAGGTGGAGAACCTGTGTCTTTCCCAGGTATTGTTCAACTCCCATCAGCCCAGCCAGCATGTTTGATGGTCAGGGTTGTCATGAGCTATAATTCAACAACACCTGGCAGTCTACAAGTTCCCTACCCTGGCCATATAAGTGGCTGTTGATTGAGCAGTACCTTAAGTGTATTTGAGAAAGTAAGCTTACTGACAATAACTTGCCTAGAAGTATATTTAATATTATTTATTACATTGGGATAAAACTGACTTGTGAGTCTTGCCAACATAGAAATAAAACATTTTAAGCATGGTCAGTATTTTGCTATGAGCAAATAAGTGTTGCTTGACCTTTAAACAAACTGAAACAGGATATGACATTCTACACAGGTTGCTGGGATCAGAAACCTTTTTTTGAGTGTGACATTCAGCATTCACATAGGCCATTGATTTGTGGAAGATGATTAGTGGCTTGGCAGTTTTTATTGGCCTTGGGATGAGTTTTTTATCTGACATTCTAGGCCAATTAATGAGATGGCAGCTTTGGGCTATCTTTATTACCTTCCAGCCTGTGAGCAAATTATTAGAGCTTCAAAGAAATGAAAATGTTAAAATATTAGTGATTTAAATAAAATTGCAGTTAATCTTAGAATCATAGCATCATTTGGTGGTTTGAGCAAAGTCTGTTTCATTTTGGATTCCAAAGAGCATTTTTGGAGGCACTGATGATTGTTTATGGGCTCGTCGTTCTTGAGAAAAGCATTTAAGTGTGTAGATGGGTGTCTTCCCAATTATGTCCTGGGGCATAATTTTCTTTTCTCTAGAAAGAAATTTCCTATAGGCCCTAGGACAGGGGTCGGCAGACTATGGCCCGGGGGCTGGATGCGGCCCACCAGGCTCGTAAATCCAGCCTGCAGACCCTGCCACCCGCTTGGTCAGTCCCCGCGCTGAGCTAAACTGGCACAGCGTTTCCTTGAAAAAAAGCCACAGATGCCTCAGCACACGGGGACTGACTTCCGTGATGCTGGCATGGCTTCAGATTGGCTGCAGGAAGTCTCACCGCCCGCTTGCTGAGGTAAACCCAGCATGGCCATGAACACAGAGGCCAGTGGGCAGGTGGTGGGTCTGGGCCGCACCATGGGCATCGTGATGGACACGTCGCGGGGCTTCAGCTGGAGCTTGGCACACCTGCTGACCCTGTGCCTGGTGCCTGGCTCAGCACTGCTGGTGGTGGCATGCTCAGCGGTCACGTTGGAGCAGCTGTAGGGTGAGCTGTGCGCCACCTGCCCAGCGCTCCACGTGCGCAGCCTGCCCCCCGACTTGGCCTCGGATGACGGGCCACAGAGCATGATGCACGCTGCCTGGGAGCTCCACGAGGACGGGCCAATGAAGCGGCTGCTGCTCGTCAACAACACTGATGAGCAGATGGCACCGAGACATGCTCTTGAGCATGTGCAGAGTGCGTTCCTCCTCCAGGTCCAGCAGGGTATATTTTAAAAATATAGTCTGGTCCCCCACAAGGTCTGAGGAACAGTGGACCAGCCCTCTGAGCTATTAGTAAAATGTTATGAATATAGAAAGGAAAAGACAGCTACAAAAACTACTGACTTCACCAGACTTCCTTTCTTTTATTTTCTTTGTCTTTGTTTTGGAACCATTCACTTAAATGTGCTTTGACATATCACAGATAAGTAGCGAGATCACAATTGGAAACAGTTTCAGGCAAGTCCAGCTGTAAATGTATAGTATCTCCTCTTATTTTGGATGTGATAAAGCATTCAAGCAATGTGTCCATACAGTGTCCTCTTTCCATATCGTGACTAAGCTGAGTATCTGAATCCATCCTCAATTTGCACAATCACTGGACTTATTGTATGGTTTTCTAGGATTCAAATACACTAAGCAATCTTAATTTGCTTAGTTTTCTGGACTTGTAGCTTGCGTTGAATGATTGTCAACTCAATGCTTGTTGGTTGTTCCTGGAAAGCTGGTCACAGTTCCTCTTGCACTTCCTGTGTCTTGCACTTTACACAGTAACCTCACCAGGCTGGTCAGATATTGTACCCATGTAACTTTAGATTTAAAGTTATGAGGTGTAGCAGAGAGATTCACCCTCTTTATATTAACTTTTTGTAATGTTAAATCTATATGCAAAAACAAACAATTAATTCCTAAGAAATCAGAATCTTTGGGGATGCCTTCTGTGAAGATTATGAGAATCAATAGATTGTTTGGTTCCCCAAGGATATAGTTGTAAGGGTTGCCCCATGGTTGGCTTAGTTTGACCTTTTTCAGTTTTTTTGAGGGGGTGGGGAGTCTCTGTAAAGCTTAGGAACTATGTGTGTGATATAGCTGCTAGACTGTTAGCTGTCCCATTCACATCAGTAGGTCAGTTATTAACAGTACACTATTTCCCCCCTACTGTTTCAGGAGGGGTGGAATGGAGACTTGTGGCGTTACCAACTTTAAAAAATAAATGAATTGCTTAGTTGTTCATGGGAAGGGTTTGTTCTCTGAGCTGTTGAATAAAACTCCTTCTATAGGGTAAGTTCAGCAGGTTTCCTCCAGTAACTTATATGCTGAGAAATTGCAATTTCCCCTTAAACAGAAGCATCACCTTAAGACACTTTACCTGTAACCTGTTCAAAAATAGAGTTACAGCTGCAGTGCTACTGCATGGTAATAAAATTGGCAACACACTCTGTCAATTCCTGCCATTTGTGTTCTCTACTGCTTTAAAAATGGAATCTTCACCCTGTGATTAGCCCTGCCAAGAAATTTTATAATGTCTTACTGGAGCATATAAATCAACATAGCCAGTGGCAGTATTTAATTTGACTTCCCTGAAACAGTCAAGCACGCTGCAGTTTGTTTAAATAAAAGGTGACTAAGTTGGGGTGTCTGAGAATGATTTCATGGCAAATTATTTGAAAGCTTATCCATCAGGATACTTGGGTGTGGGGGCTGAAATTTGAATTACTGTGTGTGTAAATTTGCATATATGAAGTGTGTGTGTGTATGCGTGTGCACATATGCACATACATGTAGTGGGAGCTTAGTACGTTCATATGTAAGAGCTGAACCAGTTCCACAGGAAAGCCTTGCAGGAATTGCATTGATGGTTAGTGGAAATGAAAACTCAATTTAGCTTTCAACATGTGACTTCCTATTTCTGTAAGGTACTTCCAAGGGACTTCCTCTGCTAAATCAGCTGAAGCTTTTCTGCAATTTAACTCTGAAACATAGCTCAGTCTGCCTTGCCACAGAGCAGTGTGTTCACTTTGATTTGTTTTTACAGAGATTTCCCCCCACTTTCCCTCCCCTTCTCTCCTGTGCCATTTCCAGCATGTAAAGATCTAGTGGCTCCAACTCGTGATCGAAAACTGAATACATTTGTGCAGATCACCGTGGTTCAACCTGGAGAACAGTCTTCAACACGATATACAAGCACAGAAATTGTGGAGGTGAGCTCCTTTCTTTGTTCGATCACCATTAGTCATCAAACGCTAAGTTTTCTTTTCTTTTTTAAGCCAGTATAAAGCAGGGGAGGGGAGGGGAGTTGCTGGCATTTGCTTGTTTGTGAAACTTCTGCTTCTGCAGAAGGAAACATAAAAAGTTGTTTGGCTTTTCAGACACGCTACAAAATGCTCTGGGGAACTATTGCTTCTCCTTTGATGTTAAGACACCCCCCCCCCCAAATGTAGAAGTATTTTAAAATATGGAGTTTCTGCGAAGAAAATGTTAGCATGCTGTATGTTTGCAATGAACTATGTCATCCGAAACACAAGACTTTGTGCTTCATGAAGAATGCGTTCTACGGTTTATACTGATAATATTTGTAGGCATAACTTTCTGCAGCAAACATTGCCTGGTGTGGCTTTGCCCTGGTGACTTTTGGCTTTGTCTGCTTCTTGGAACAAGAGTTTACTTTTTGTTACCAAATATTCATGTTAAGGAGTTTTAGGATACGTTGTGGAAGGAAGCAGGTTTTAATTCTGTGAAACTACATCCGAATTAGCTTCTCACTATTAAAGAAAGTTTCCTGATGCATCAAAGGAATGCTTTTTGAGCAGTCTTCCGGCTGCAAATTTAGCTGTCGTGACTTGAACTGCTAGCAGTACTAAAGCTGAAACTCAAACAGCCTGCAACGCAGCAGGATGGGCCTTGTGCAGACTGTTTTGGCGTGTTGCACTGCATTTGTTGTAGCAGACTGTTCAGGCATCAGTCGAACCCTTTCCTATTACAGTTTAGAGTTAGCTGACATTCTACACAGAACCCTATATATGTTCAAACTCTGTGTTTTATTTTCATGTATTCTTCCATTTGTATGCCACCAGTATCCCTCAAAGGAGGCTAAAAGCAAATTAAAAACAATACAGCTGAGTTGGATTTTTTTTAAAAAAACTTTATTGATCTGCAAGACCACTATGCAATATCACAAGACTACTTTGCAAAATCCCATCCCTCGCGCAAAGCAGTTTGCTTCGTGGAAGAGGGTACTGCTTCTTAAGACATACAAAGCCCCTGTGCTCATGGACAAGTAGTTTCGTGCTTCTTTTAATCACAGCATGAAGTAAACACCTTCAGTAAGAAAAATACACAGCAGGGGAAGACGGCAATGATAAAACCTTGACAATTACAACTCTCAAAAGATTTGGTGGAAACGGTTTCTTTGCCTAGGAAAATTGCTTGTAAAAGAAGAATGTAATGTGGGTGGGAGAAGGAGAGTAGAATGGCTTGCTTGAGCTCCTGCTAGCTTATAGTATCTTGCAGGAAATGCATGGCTGGCTGGCTGGAACCCTAAACAAGAGCTCTTCTGTTATTGTATGGTATTGGTTTATTGCAAAAGTCTGTGGCAAGTTATAAATAAATTTACAGTATTGGTATTCTTTTTTATCAATTTCATTAAGAGCGAAGCAGCTGTTACATTTATATCTAACCTCTCTGCATAGAGCTTTAAGATGAAAAATGTGGTTCAAAAACATATATTTGAAAATACTTAAATACAAAAAGTTTTTTTCAAACTTATTCAATGATGGTAGTGTTACTGCAATTTCTTTAAAAAAGACAGAGAGAGGGAGGGAGTGTGGGGAACCTTTTTCAGCCAGAGGACTGAAATCCCATCCTCTGGGGGATAGATGCCAATGATGGGCATGGCCAAAATGGGCAAGGTCACCCCCCACATATATACATGTGGACATGCATAAACACACACATGCATTTTAGTGATTAAGAAGAAGGAATACCACCTTACACAACACAAGCGAATATGAGGTTATTTGCTTTCCAGTGTTATTTCCAAGGTCAATACTGAGTAGCTGAACAGTCAGTAGGCTAAAGAATGGAGTACTTCTGCTTTTACATACCCTGAGTATCTTATGCATGGAAGAACAACAATTAACTTGAAGGAAATGTGGTATTTGGCGGTACTAACTGCATCAACAAGCTTAGTTCTTCATGCAAAATTTATCCTGCCCTTCCTCCAAGTTGTTAAGGACAACGTAAATTCCCTGCCCCAGTGTCGTGTAGTGGTTAAGAGCGGTAGACTCGTAATCTGGTGAACTGAGTTCGCTTCCACGCTCCTCCACATGCAGCTGCTGGGTGACCTTGGGCTAGTCACACTTCTTTGAAGTCTATCAGCCCCACTCACCTCACAGAGTGTTTGTTGTGGGGGAGGAAGGGAAAGGAGAATGTTAGCCGCTTTGAGACTCCTTCGGGTAGTGATAAAGCGGGGTATCAAATCCAAACTCCTCTTCTTCTCTTCTTATCTTTACAACAGCCCTGTGAGGTTGGTTATGCTGAAATTTATTCACTGACCCATGGCCACATATTCCTTTTTGGCTGAGGAAATTCTCCCTCACTGAAACCCAACACTCCAGTTGCTACGCCACACCGGCCCTGCTATATTAAACACAAAGTGTCATTTAAAATAATATTTTTAAAGCTGATTCTGCAAAACTTATTGAGGACTATCCAAGGTTTAGCCTTTGATGCTGGGTCTAAAATCTCTTTTAAAGTCATACTTCCTGCCCTTGGAAACTCTAGTCCCAGCCAAGCTGTGGCTTTCTGCACTTACTTTACTCAGTGGTGAGGCAAAGGCATTCATTGCACACTCAAAGGCACTCTCTTTTACATCGCTTGTTCCATGGCTAAGACTTGGGTGCTAGAAATAGGTTCTAGTACTAAACCCTGATAAGCCTAGCTGGAATTATTTCCATCATACTACAAGCCTATGCATTTCAACTATGAATCGGTTTTTAGTTTAGCTTGCATTGTTGAGAAAATACTTCTTAAAATGAAAAGGTTATTGATTTTCTTTTTAAAAAAATAGATAAATCAAACATTGTTCAAGCTATGCCTATGCCTTTGCCAAGATACTAGCCTTGAAGGTCAAAATGTCATCTAGTCATTGTTCACAGCCTGTTTCTGCCCTGCTTCATAGCCAAACATGTGGTTTTGATTTATTTTCCTGACTTAAGGATTTTTGCTGCTCTTGTGGAAAGGCAGTCAAGTTGTACGGCGCTTTCTCTCTGCTAGTCCATTGCAGGGAGTTGCACTGGATGACCCTCAATATCCTTTCCAACTCTGCAATTCTATGATTAACCATACATGAAGATAAAAGGCACGAACTTGGAGGGAGACATGAAGCTGTGTATATAAAGCTGGAAAACTTGGTGACTCCAGCTTACGGTTCCCACACAGCTATTTATGGCCTTGCCTAGTGCTTCCCATATTTTTAGTTCTTTTGCATGAATTGTAACATGTGACTACTTAAATGGAGTGCATGTGAATTTATATGTCTTGGATTATGAATGAATGGCTGGCTGGCTGTTCCTAATTAGAGGAGTACTGCTTCGTAGTATACGGTGACACAGTTGCCTGGGGTGGTTTGTGGTCATGAACTCAACTTCTGTATCTCAAAATGTCTCTCTTTATACTGAGTTAAATGTCCGCGCTATTACACTTTGTATCTCTGGCTCTTGCAGTTGGCAATCCAAATCTGCCTTTGCTGCATCAAAAACTCTTGCCTTTGGAGATCCCGTGGCTATTGTTTCATTGACCATAGCTGACTGTAGTATGGCACACAGCTGCTACCTTGCTAAATCTGAGTTATGTGCTTGTGCTATGCAGGGAACAAGAGACCCACTGTTTCTGACTGGTGTGACGTTCCCGCCGGATTACCCTATCTATGAGGAGACTAAAATAAAACTAACAGTCTATGATGTCAAGGATAAATCTCAAGACACGGTAGGTACCTTGCTGCTTCTTTTGCTAAAATATGCACAGCAATATGACTGATCTTTCCATGGGTTTATTTTGCCATCCATTTTATCCTTAGGTGTTTCAAGTGTTGCTGATTGTATTGAATTGTTGTTCAAGTTGCCAGGAAATAAAGAGTTAAGGTTGTGTGTGGCTTTCCTCTTAACTGTGTCTGGCAGCATATGGAATGGATTGAGATAAGAAGGGTAGAAAGAAAATAACTTCTCTCAAAATATGTTACCGATCATAGAGTTCTAGTCATGTAAGACCTGAGTTCTGAAAGAAACGATAATCAAATCAGGCTTTAATTATTCTCATATTGAGACTTGTATTGTTGCAGCCCATATGCCATCAGTTTTAAAAATGTGTATGTATTACTTACTAAAGAATGTATACTGGAATTTGTATCATCTACACACACACATTAGTAAGAGGGAATGGAAAGGAATTGTTTACCAACATATATCCAGCAACCCAGTTACAGTTTGTCTATATATTCTCATGCAGAGTTTTCCACCCCAAAGGTTTGACAATGCTTAATTTTTTAAAAAAATCCTGTGTTACATTTCCTGCTTTTCTTAATATTCAAACGCATCTTTAAAGCATCCTCCCCAGAACAGCTGACAAGCAAAGAAGTCACAAGACTTTTACATTTGTTTGTGTGCAAAAGCTGATAAAATATGGAATCATACCCCCCCCCAAAAAAACAAAAAAACAAAAACAAAATGCTTTGCATTTGTATTTCTTTTACCTGCTATGGATTATGAATGATGAACACAATATTACGGTACATATTGCATTAATAATAGCTAGGAAGATATTTTGTTCACTTGATAACTTTTCAGAGGTGCGACATGTTTAAATTTTGAAGTTGTATTATTTTCAGTGCTTTGTTATTGTTTTTAGATATTTTTTAAAATATCCAATGACTTCCCTTCTTATCCTTCCGTGGTTCAATTTATTTGTCATACATTTCCTGCATATTTTTACTATAACCATTCAAATCAGTTTTCCACTTTTACATTCGTCAAAAAATATTTACTCTGTTGAATTTATCTTGGTGCTGCCAGCGTTTTCAGATGTATACAGTTAATTTCCATATATTCAATAAACATTTCCCACTCTTCTTTTAATTTACAGTATTTTTTCCATGTATAAGATGAGCTTTTTTTCGTCTTACACACAGGTAGTGCTGAGGGGGGACGGGCAAATGTTTTTTTGGTGCGAGCCCGAAATTGTGTGGTGCATTCTGGCGGGCGAGTGATTTTCGGCATTCCCCCCAAATAATCCTCCAAAGCTTAATCCCCCCTATTTTCTAAATTTTGAGGCCCCCAAAATAGGGGGCATCTTATATATGGGGGGCGTCTTATAGAGGGAAAAATACGGTACGTTTTCCTTGCTCTTATTCTATGTTTTAAATCTGCAAGTTCTGCGTATTCCGTCAACTTAAGTTGCTAATCCTCTTTAGTTGGACCTCGCTCACTTTCCATTTGGGTGCTCACAAAACACAGGCCGCAGTTGTTGCATACATAAATAACCTTTTCTGACACCTAGGAATTTATGTCTGGGTTATTCCCACCAAATTGAACTCTGGTTTTTTTGGGAAAGTAGTTTTGAACAATTTTTTCAATTCATTATAAATCATTACCCAATATACTTTTACCTATTTATACGTCCACCACATGTACAAAAAGGTTCCCTCCACTACTTTACACTTCCAACACATATCTGATTCTGTTTTATAAATCCTAGCCAACCTTCTCGGAGTTAGGTACCATCTATGAATCATTTACAAAAAATTCTCTTTCAATGAATAACATACAGTAAATTTCAGGTCGCTTTCCCAAAGTTTCTCCTAGAGGTTAAGCTCTATATTGTGTCCTATATCTGTTGCACAGAGTGTCATTGAAGCTTTAACTAGCTCGCCTTTTATTTCCCATTCTAATGAAAAATTATACATTTTAGGCAGAGGTTTATCCTTATTTTGTAAGAGTTCTTTTTCAAATTGTGAGTTTTGGGCAAGAAGTCCATTCTTTCTATCTAATTTAAACATATTGTATATCTGGTAATATTGCAACCAATCCGTAACGTGGCTCCTTAGTTTTCTATTGATTTCAGTTTGGGTCTCCCCCCCCCCTGTAAAATCCAGCCGTTCCCTGTAAGTTGCCTGTAAGTCTGTCCATATTAACTCTCTTAATTATAATTGCTTCAATGGGAAATGGCCATTTTCAGATTTTTATATTTCTCCCAGACCCTATAAAGATTCTTCCTAAGAATGTGGTTCATAAAATCTAAAATGTCTGCATTGCCCAATACAATCCATTCTTTTAACCCACACAAACAAGCTGCCTCATAATACAATTGCACATCTAGCAGGGCAAAGCCTCCTCTTTCTTTTGTATCTATCATTATTTTATGTTTAATTCTTGGCTTTTGCCCCTGCCAGATGAATTTAGAGATATATTTTTTCCATTCTTTAAAGCAGCTTAAATTATTTACAAGTAGGATTGATTGGAATAAAAACTACATCCTGGGAAATCTATTCATTTTAATGGTGTATTATTTCCAGTGCTTTGAATAATTAGAATAAAGGTCTTGATTTACAGAAGTGCAGCTATGTTTTTGAAAATATTTTTCAAGGAATTGTTACAAAATTAATATTAAAAATAATGCTATAAAAAGTCCCTTGGAGTGGGAAGGTTGTGAATGAGAGCTCTCAAATCTTCAAAACCAGGAAATACAGTGTTAATTTGAAATTTTGGAAATCTCCTTTTAATACCTTACTATTTTGTACCATTTTCTGGGCCTTCCTGGTGGTAGTTGGGAGCAAGTCTATTATTTGCTAGTCAGTTGCAATATTATTTGTTCCCCTAGTACTTGGTAGCCACTTGACATCTGCCTCTGAATCATAGAAGGGGCTACCTGGCTTATAAGGGGGAGGGTTGTGTTCCTGTCTTCCCTGAGAGTTCTGAATCCTCTTGACCTGACTCATGGTCCCTTGACACAGGTTGCTCCTCTGTGATGTTTTGTTCTGAAAACTGTTGGTTCATCTAAAGAGGATTTATCTAGCTGAGGGTTCTTCCCAACTCAGTACTATTCATCAGTATTTACCACTTTTGAACATTTGGTGGTGCAATTTACGGTCTCTCTCACACAAGCAAACTAACTTCATTCACACTTGATTTAACATTTTTGTGGAACTTACAGCTATACTAGCTGTAATATTATTCTTATTACCAGTGATTTTTTTTCTGGGGGAACGCAGGGGTATGCATACCCCTAAACATTTTGTGAATCTAAGTTTGGCCTTATTGAGGGGCAGTATTTCAATATGAGTAGGAAAATGAGAGTACCCCTAAACATTTTTTTAAGAAAAAAAAGCACTGCTTATTACTATCGATTAAGTAGTTGGTTTGAGGGACGCGGGTGGCGCTGTGGGTTAAACCACAGAGCCTAGGACTTGCCGATCAGAAGGTCGGCGGTTCGATTCCCCGTGACAGGGTGAGCTCCCATTGCTTGGTCCCTGCTCCTGCCAACCTAGCAGTTCGAAAGCACATCAAAGTGCAAGTAGATAAATAGGTACCGCTCTGGCGGGAAGGTAAACGGCGTTTCCGTGTGCTGCTCTGGTTCGCCAGAAGCTGCTTAGTCATGCTGGCTACATGACCCGGAAGCTGTCTGCAGACAAAGGCCGGCTCTCTTGGCCTATAGAGTGAGATGAGCGCGCAACCCCAGAGTCGGTCACGATTGGACCTAATGGTCAGGGGTCCCTTTACCTTTACCACCTCCTAATCTGCATGGTGGAGCAGAAAGGTAGAATTCCATAGACTGCCAGTTCAAGTGCTGAGATTAGAGGTGTCAGAAAAATAACATCTGCTTGGATGTACTTGGCCACTGGAATTCATTCAGACCTTGTGAACTCTGAACTGCCATTCTGTTACTGCTGTTCCAGAGCAATCAAGGAGTAGACAGCAGGAAAAGTGACTGAGGCAAAGTGCAACTCTCTGACTTCTGGTCTCTTGCTAGCTTTGCTTGTCCCTGCCCTCTCCCTGAAAGGTAAAATAAGGAGCAAGGATAAAAAAGGAACAGCATAGCAAGTAGTTTGCAAAGAGTTCTATGAAGCTAAAAATAAAAAAATTTTAAAAATCATTTGCTCTACTTTATAAATGTTACATCCTTTTAATATTGGATTCCTATCAACAAGCTCTCCCCTTCTAACTGGTTTGCATCTTTTAAAAAAACTTCCAATTATAGCACTGAAGCCCTTTTTAAATTGTGGAAACAAAAAGTGCATTGGGAAATATGGAAGTGAATAACTTTGGTAAGGAAACATTTAAACTGAGTTTTGAAACCAATCCAGGTTGTTCCACTGCATTCCCCAGTGGGCATTGGACTATATAGTATATATCAGAAAACCACAACACCATTTGTGACACTCACTGTTTATTGAGAATTCATTTCTTTGCATGGAGGTTATATCGGATTGCACCAAGCAATTGCTGGCCCATACTTATCTGTTCACTTTTCTGTTCTGCAGAAAGCCTGGGTTTCTTTCAGAGAGGAAGGGGAAGATTTGATGCAGGAGAGTGACAAATACTTGCAATTTTGCACAACCTAAATGTGCAAGTATGTGATTATATTCCACCTGCAAAACAGTGACAGTCGAAAAGCAACTTCACTGATGAAACCTATCAAAATTTAATTTTTCTTCTTCTCCCCTTTCCCCTAGTCCTATGCCTGCTTGGCATTCCCTGCTCCTTTTATCTTCCCTCAAATAATTGAGGCTCAAAGTATTGGCCTTCACTGCCAAATGAATGAATGTGTATTATTATGGCCAAACAGCCAGCATACTAAAACCAGAATTTCTACATAGTTCTTTACAAAAATGATAAAAATGATCAGAGTGGAATTTAACAATCAATATACTAATTAATAGACTTAAAATGTGTATCCAATGAAATAGTGAAGCTTTGTGGTCTGTTCAGTGCAGT